TAAAGGCTATCCCTAAGATCGAGTTTTAGAAGTGTTTCGAGTATTGGAAGAAAAGCTGATACATGTGCATAATAATATAATGGGGACTATTTTGAAGGCGACAACATTAATGTAGACGAATAAATAAATATTTGTTTCAAAAAACGAAAATTCCCGATATTTTCTGAACAGGCCTCGTATATAATCATTAGAAATTAGGTTTATAAAATATGTATTCTGAATTTCTATTCGTATAAATAAATAAAACAGCTCAGGAATTCTGTTAAATATTTCGTCCGGAAGTGCAACAAACGCCATGACGCCACAGATTTTGGCTGCGAATGTTCAGTCATTTGGGTCAGGCTGATTTATATTTATATCGGACAGGCGGTCGTGGATGCACACAGCCGAGTGGCTCGGTGGTTGTTCGCTAACCGTGACATTTTAAAACTATTTTTGGAAAACGGCGGTTTAAATTTTCAATGGACTCTCCTACGCCGACAAATTAAGTCAGACTAATGAGTGGATACACAGTAAAAAAATATTTGTCTATTGTAACCAAATATTAACCAGATTTTATGTTAATTCAGGTCCCCATAACATTTTGTAGATTTCTTAACAAAATCCTGTCAATAACACCATGTAACAAAATTTGATTTTTATTTTGTTTATTGGATTTTTTTGTTAAATTATCAATATTTGTGTGCCAAAAAACTATTCTAACTTAATTTAAAAAAATTTGTGATAACTTTTTATTTTTTTAAGGGATATACCGGTATTTATATAATCAAACCCAATTTTATCAAAAATACAAAAAAATATTGACAAGAAATGGCAAGAAATTCAACCCAGAATTATCATTTTAACAAAACAATCTAGAAAAATATTTTCTTAACATAGATTTTAAATCTTGGTTCAAAATTGAATTTTAATACGACTTTTTCTTTTATATGATGCATTTTCTTCCCGAAGTAGATTCCAAACATAGTCACCCATCATTGTCGCATCCCACCTTCCTTGTTATCACTTTTCCATTACCCGAATATCTTGATGGAATCTTTCTCCATGTTCTTCGCTGACATCTCCAAGATTTTCACGGAAAAAGTCAAGATGCGAATGCAAATAGTGTAGGTACTTTCAACGACATGCGGCATCCCATTTCTTTAAAACTTCCTAATAAAACTTTGACAAGGTCAGTATAATTTTCTCTTTTGTGGTTACCAAGGACACCTTTCATTTAAAATCTCACGTTAACTTTTGAGTTTAAAAAATATGTATTATAATCCAATTTTGTTAAAAAAAAATTATTCATTTTTTTTACATGTTGTCCACAAAGAAAGTTTAATGGCCAAAATCTTACGTGAGGGATAGGGGGGTCTACCACATCTCACCAAGGGGGAGGGAGGGGTCTAAATTATCGGAAAAATGCCTCATGTAATTAATGGACGGCTGTCGTTGAAAATTTGACAGTTTGTTACGTAATTGGGGGTATGGCCTACTACGATTTGTGTAATAAAATCCAGATAAACAAATATCTTGTTACATAGTGTAATTCAACCATAATCCTTGCAATTTTGAAAAAGGACCTTATTTTTAAAAACCTTTTTGCAGACCCAGAAGCAAAAGTATTTGTTGGAAATTGGGAACTTAGTGGAAAAGAATTTTGATAAGAAATATTGCTTTATTAATCAATTTCCTAAACAAAAAAAATAACACATACCTAAGTAAATGAACACAAAAGTAACATACACACAATTAAATAACACACCATTCTGAAATCATTAAATTAAAATTTGGTACAATATAATTATCAGTATACTGAGTGTGCGAAGTATTCGAAAAAAGATGCCATCACTGGTTTTCAAACTGAAATTTGGAGATACAGGAACAACATATATTTCGTAACTTTAACCCACTTCTCTGTATCCCCAAATTTCAGTTTGAAAACCAGTGATGGCATCTTTTTTCGAATACTTCGCACACTCGTTAAATATATATATAAGGAATCCGAATAACAATAATAACAGATTTCTGGTAATATATTATAAACCCTCTGGACAGTTGTTACAAATTAGAATAACGTAAGCCGAAACATTTGTTGCAGACGCTGTCAGTTGAATTTGTTGATGCGTATTGTCAGTGGGAAATGCATAACCTCGCGTGTAATACTATACTTTATCTACTCCAATACGTAGATAATTAAATGATTTTCAAAAATAAATACATAAAATCTGACATCTGTCAAATGCTTAACCTCACTTTTTACCAATTTTAAATGTTATTACCTATAGTCGCCTTCTCCCAACTTAAAACCTCAATATTGAAATTGGCCAATCACTGATGCCCAACAACGTGAATAATGAGTTCATTATTCCCGTTGTTAGGCAGGATATGTATAATTTTAATCATTATTTAAAAAAAAAAACAATATTATGCAATATTAGTACATAAAATGTTTTTTTAAGCAATTTTCATATTATAACAGCCTATAAGAAGAACTTTATTTTTGTACGCAGTCAAATAATAGTAAAGTACAATAATAAAAATGCATTGAAATTACATAGAAAGAGTTGTTCCATCTATCACATTTAGATCGAAATCAGAAACTAAAATTACAGGTCACTGTAGAATAAATTCATACACATAACCTATAATTTTACATGTGTCAAACGTCAAACTTATGACAAAATGTAGGAAACTCTAGAATTTAAATGCAACTACAGAATTATTAAACTGTTGAAAAAAAATATTATATACAACGCGGCGGAGAAAGCATATTAGAGACTGCTTCACGGCAGATCGTCTTTAATAAGAGCTTTCTCCGCCTGTACTATTTTTAAAACATCCTATCTGAGTTTTTTATTTTTCAAAAAAAATTTATATAAATAACGATTTCCATATCTGAAATTGAAAAAATACTACTTGCAATAAATCTACAATACATTTTTGTGAAACTTATTTTATCCGAAATCGGCAGTAAAGTAGTCAACAATCGGCAGTAAAGTAAAAGAAAATAGGCAGTAAAGTTCTACTTTTAATATGAGTATTGTATGCAACCCATTATACATTTTAAGATGTGTCTACTGCTTCTCAGCAGCAACTAAATATTATTTAAAAAAAAGCACCGTTGCGGAGGTCGATTGGACCCTTTCATAAAATGTTTAATAAAAATAATAAGTTAATTTTATTAATTAGAGTAAAAAATCGCCGCGGCGGGCAAATATATGTATATATGTGGTAATAACCACGTCAACAAACAGTATACGTAGAGACTTCCTACATTCAAATGACATTTGATTTGATCATCAAATGACATTTGATTTAATCATCATTATTAATTATTAGTATTATTAAATGTGATTTCGGATAAAATTTAATATGCACTTCGGCATTAAAGCCATTTTTTATCACTCACGTGGTTATTTGCCACATTCGTGATAAAAAATACGACTTTACTACCTTGATACATAAATAACGATTATTGAATACTTTGAAATATAATATTGACGCAACATAACTGTCTTTTGAGTGACGTGCGAAAAATGGTTATAAATGCTTTAAGTTAAAACTCTGTTTTTAAAATTAAATATTAATTTAAGAAAAGAAAGTCAGAATGCAAAAATATTAAAATCATGTTTAATAATTGCAACAGTATAATGGCTGAATGGAATAATGTAACCTTAATATATAGCATACTATATATTAAGGTTAAAGTATGTATACTCGGTATATTAAGGTTAAATTATGTCTATAGAGAACATTTGCCAAATACACCCAATGCATTCTTCCTTGTTGCCTTTCCCCTATAGAAAAAATATATTGTCCTTAATCTTCCCATACAAAAAACGTAATAAAATACAGGGACTTGGGTGTAGCGTTGTAAATTTTTCTATTATACGAGGTGTGTTCAGAAAATATCGGGAATTTTCGTTTTTTGAAACAAATATTTATTTATTCGTCTACATTAATGTTGTCTTCAAAATAGTTCCCATTGGATATTATTCACATGTGCCAGCTCTTCTTCCAATACTCGAAACACTTCTAAAACTCGATCTTTGGGATAGCCTTTAGTTCTTCCAGCGATGCGCTTTTAATGTCATCTATGATTGCAAAACGACGGCCCTTTAAGGTTCTCTTTATTTTTGGGAATAGGAAAAAGTCAGACAGAGGCATGTCTGGCGAATATGGAGGCTGGGGAATCATTACAGTATTGTTTTTGGCCAAAAATGTTGTTCAAAATTTAACAATTTTATATCAAATTTTGCTGCCACGCGTTTCATACCCAAAACATTCGAAAAAAGTTCATGGGATGAGCCTATCGATATATCAACATCATCAGCGACTTCTCTGATTGTTTATAACCATTTCTTCCATTTGTTCCATGTTTTTACCGGTTGTTAATGTGCTTTTACGTTCGGGGCGTTCGTCATCTTTAACGTCTTCACGGCCATCTTGGAAACTCTTATACCACTTGTAAACTCTTGTTTTACTTATAGCAGACTCACTATAGGCCTTTGTTAACATTTCACAGAACTTATTTCATTTTTAAGCAAAATTGGATACAAATTCTTTCATCCAATTCTTGGCATGTTACGAATTAGAATAATGTAAGCAGAAACATAAGACGCTAAAGTCAGTTGAACTTCTTGATGCGTATTGTCAGTGGGAAATGTTTTGATTGACTGCCTGAAATCAAGTGTACTTTATCAACGAAATAATGTGTTAAACATTAACAAAATACAACAAATTATGTTAAAATTTTACAAAATAAAATTAACAAACTACAAATCTGATTTTTATAACAGTATACCTATGTTTGATTTAAACAATGATGGAGCATAGAACAAACACAGTATTTATTATTTCGACAATGATTACTTTTAGTCTACTTGTATAGGAAGTACGCGAAATCAAGTAAACAATGTTATCAAAATATGGAAGACATTTTTTGTCCAGTTGCTTGTGTAACACGGCTGCCAAACAAGATTTATTAGAACCAGCTAACGACCTAACCGTGTTACCATAGAAGCGATGGCGACGGTCGGCAGGGCACACTGAGATCCTGGTGGTACTTTGAGAGCGGACGTCATGCCGCGTCGTTAACGCGATGCTAATACCACAGTGGGACAAAAAATGGTTTTAATATGATTATTTCCCTCATTATAATATGAACCAATCAAAAGCCTTGAATTTTCGAATAAATTTCGTTTAAATAAGCGGTTAAATCACTAGAACTATTTAACAGCGATTAAATTTTAGCCTCCATATTGGATTTTTGTTTACGATTTTATGGTGTTATTTACAAGTTTTAACACACATTTTTTTAAAAACAATAAAAAATAAGTTATTTAGTTTACGAAATATCAATTATTACTTATTACATACCTTAAATTAATGGAATTTTCTTTAAAAAAATATTTATAAATTTTGACACATACGTCAGATTTTATGAATTGTCAAATAGTTTCCTTTAATTCGAGAAATAATCTAGACGTATATCACTCAACCCATAAATTTAATCTGTCAAACTATGCTCAGTAAGTTTTTTATTTGATTTTTCTTTTTGGAAAATAGTTTCATGCAAAATAATTAAAAATAAAACCCCTCGACCGCTACGCGGTCTCGTGATTTTATTAAATTATTTTGCATTCAACATTTTCCAACAAAAACCAAACAAAAAACTACTGAGCCTAGTTTAACCGATTAAATTCATAGTTCTCGTGATATAATAAATGGGTAATAATCATTGCAAAAGTTGTCGTCACCATTGTTTTTTATGTCCAATATCATTGTTTGAGAAACTTTAAGTGAAGCCTGCGGTTTACAAAAATATTTTTTTTAAATAGAATTAAAACATTTTTTACCATAAAGTATATTCTGTCAATAATTAGCATTTATATTTACCCTAATAAAGTTCTAAATGTAGGTATGTAAATAATAATTCAGTCCAATTTTGATTCCATAACAATTATTTTAAGAACTGGAACAAAATGGAATTATAAGTCATATTTTACTAATTGTCATAGCGAAAAAGCAGTCACTAATAATTAGTCAAATTTTACTGAATGAAATAGTCAAATTAGTAGATTTAAAATTTAAAAAGTTTTAACCCAGCCTGGGATTGAACATAAGTCGGTCGCTTGTCAAGCTGTTGTCATAACCAATGTGGCTATCAGTCACTCTTATAAAAAACAATTTTATTTGTCAATAAATATTGTTCATATTTTAAAGTTGAATATATTATTTGTGTTGCTGTTTTGAGCTAATTTTGCATCTTTGTTTGTTTTTATGGGCCATTTAACCATGGAGCCTATATGCATTTAATTAAAATAATAGGTAGGTACTTTGTTGTTGGCCGCAAATCATTAAAGAAATTAGTTACTTTTAACTCTCAGAAATAGTCAACGATGATGACTAATCTTAAATTAACTATTTAAAAGTGAAAACGACTATTTTATTAGTAAAAAAATGCTGGTACTAATTCAAATAGTAGAATTTTGACTATTTCATTTTAAAAGGGTAGGTAGGTATCTACATTTTTTGTAGTAAATGTAGTCTTCTACAAAATAGTTCAAAATTAATATTTTAAGAAATATAAATTTGAAGTCATCAAAATTTTTGCAAACATTATTTTGAATTTATCTTTAAATATTTTAAAAATTATAATTATATTTGGTACCTAAGAAATGAAATGAGTAAAAAACGTTATTAATATAAATATAATTTAATTAAAAAAATGGACATTTTTGCAAAAGGTCAAATGTCAAAATGCTACAAATTTAAAATGTCAAAAAGGAATGTAAATATATAAGTCCCGTCAAAATTCAGCTGTTTCGGAGATTAGCCTGGACTAACATTGCAACATTTTTTTTATATGTATAGATGTATAGATTAATTTTAGAGATTCGAAAACTGGGAAAACTAAATTTTCTAAAGTTAACAGCAAAAAAACATCAAATTTTAAATTATAAATAAATAAAGTTTTTATTGCATATTGAGTACATATACGTAGGTAGAACATAAAATACAAAATATACAAAAGGCCATCGAACGGGGTCCTTCAGCCTTTTAAATTTTATTTCTGCTAAATTAAATTTGCATTCTTTGCAAAAAGGCCAAACTATGCTTGATTGAATTAATAGAAGAAAGTTTGAAAAAAACAAACAATGTGAAAAAAAAACATAAATGTTCAAATTTGAAAAAAACAAACAAACAAAATTTGGTTGCTATGCTAAAAATAATTGTAAATGTTGACGTTTTTAATTTTAAAATAAAAATGTCAACAAATATTCGTTTTGGTCAAAAAAATCATACAGAAATTGAATCGGTAGTTAATTCTAATTAAAAAAAGATTCGTGAAATAGTCTTGACGAATACTACTCTTGAAAAAAATTTTAGAAATTTTGCTCGTTGCATTAATTTAAAACCACTCGCCTAGCGGCTCGTGGTCTTAAAAATTAATGCCACTTGCGAAATTTACAAGAAAAAAACATTCACAAACTGGGAAAACTAAATTTTCTAAAGTTAACAGCAAAACAACATCAAATTTTAAATTATAAATAAATAAAATAAATAAAGTTTTTATTGCATATTAAGTACATATACATAGGTAGAACATAAAATACAAAATATACAAAAGGCCATCGAACGGGGTCCTTCAGCCTTTTAAATTTTATTTCTGCTAAATTAAATTTGTATTCTTTGCAAAAAGGCCAAACTATGCTTGACTGAATTAATAGAAGAAAGTTGTGAAAAAATTTGAAAAAAACATAAAACTTCAAATTTGAAAAAAACGATGAAAAAAACAAACAAAAACCGGGTGCTTTGTTCACGTTACATCTCTAAACTGCTACAAAATTTGGTTGCTATGCAAAAAATAATTGTCAATGTTGACGTTTTTAATTTTAAAATAAAAATGTCAAAAAATATTCATTTTGGTCAAAAAAATCATACAGAAATTGAATCGGCAGTTAATTCTAATTTAAAAAAAATTCGTGAAATAGTCTTGACGAATACCACTCTTGAAAAATTTTTTGGAAATTTCGCTCGTCGCATTAATTTAAAATTAATGCCACTTGCGAAATTTACAAGAAAAAAACATTCATATAATAGTATATTATCTACCTATCAAGTTTGATAAACGCCATTTTATACACGAATTTAATTGAGGCACGAGCGAGCTTGCGAGCGAGTGCTTAAGTTAATGAGTGTATAGAAAAGTTTATAAACGAGGTGCATACTATACCTACTTTTTTTACGACAAATACTTATTATTATCTTAAAATGAGCGCCATCTATGAAACAACAGGGGAAACTGTCAAATGTCACATTTTTACATTTTTTAAACACAATTATAAAGGTTATAAATCGAAATGTATCTTGAAAATTGACAGTTTTTCACAGTGAAAGTAAAGGAAATGTTTTATGAGGACTTTACAGTAGAGTCCGTGCCCGAATTTAAGTTATAGTTTACTGCCGGCGAAATTAAAAGGTCAGTACAATGTTCATATAAACTTTTCAAATATTGGCGTTGAGAAACTATTTAATATTTTTGTATTGAGATAATAAAATAATTTTCACATTTAGTATTATTTTACAAGAAAGGCACTTTATTTTAACGATTGTATGACATTTGACAACTGTCAACTAACTTAAAACTAACTTCAGCCCGTGACTAAAAACCTGTTGCTATCTTTAGCCCGTGACTAAAGCGCCGTAAAGCCACAACTTGTCAATGTGTATTTAAAAGGTCACTTAGAGGCATGGAAACATGTAGGTACTATAAAGGGCGTTTTAAAGGTGGGAGTAGAAAAAAATATTTTATCGGTAAAATTTTACCACTAGTGGTATTATATACGAAAAAACTACCTTTAAATAAAGCTTATTGATTCACGCTTTCGGAAATTGTAAAACTTCAGTATAAAAACTCTGAAAAAAAAAATATGCAGCGTATGTAACAAATTGTGTCAAAATACGTAAACCATACCATTCACAAATACAGTTTTATAAAAAAGTATGGAAAATTTTGATATTTTCCATATTTTTATTTAATTTGTTAATTTAGATCCTCTTTAGATTTATGATTTATTTTTTTTATTACCCTAAATTTACCAATTTTTCCATTTATTATATAATATTCATAATATTAATTAAAATTTGATGCAACCACAATTTCTTAAATAAAAAGTAGGGCTTTAAAAACTGCATGTTCCGTCCCACCGTGAATATCGCGACTGTCGAAACACATGGACCGCCGGTGACGCCGAGTCTCCTCTTCCCCCGTCATATCGCACACTCGACCATCGTCACGCTGCATTTTAGACTTTCCTAAAGCCAAAAACAACCCAACCGGTCCTAGTTGGCCACCCCAAACCGCCCACCCTCTTTTATTGCTCACGCTGGCTGACGGACTGACTGGTTCAAAAGGTTTCCTTTCAAAGAACTATTAATTGCGATCCTATTTATCAATAATTTTATGTTGTTTGGTACATTTGAACAATTTTTAGAGGTTAGTCTGGTTAAAACATTTTTACTCATATTTACTTTTTTATTATAATAATTATAACTAGGTATGAAATAAATTATTAATAAAGTATTAAATGTTTTTCTTAATTATTATAGTTTTGCATTAAAAATGTTTATTTTTCTAAAAATAAGCGAGTTCTAATAATTTGTTTTATTATTATACTTAATATTTACCCTTATAACTATTATGTACAGTAGTACACATGATAATTTTACCAATAGTTTTAGTCATTAAAAATGTACATTGTGAAAAATACGACAGAGGAGTAGTTTCTCAAACTACTGTATGCTTTAAAACCAATTTTTTAATGACGCGTCGTGACGGTTCAAAATACCTAATACCTTAGACGACGAAAGAGACTGGATGCGTATACAGATCGTTGAAAATGTTTTAAAGTGTAAATTTAGATTAAAAAAAATCCTAACAAGCTTATGATCTTTATAGTTTCATTTTACTCTTATATTTTACCAACCCCCCGCCGGAATTTTTTTTATAAAGATACAAAAAAACTTTGGTACTGCATTTAAAAACAAGTGGTTAATTAGAAGTATGACACAAGACGTA